ATCAGTGTCTTTTATCATTGTCTCTTATCATTGTCTCTTATCATTGTCTCTTATCATTGTCTCTTATCATTGTCTTTTATCATTGTCTCTTATCATTGTCTCTTATCATTGTCTCTTATCAGTGTCTTTTATCATTGTCTCTTATCATTGTCTTTCATCATTGTCTCTTATCATTGTCTCTAATCATTGTCTCTAATCATTGTCTCTAATCATTGTCTCTAATCATTATCTATTATCATTGTCTTTATCATTGTCTCTTATCATTGTCTCTTATCATTGTCTCTTATCATTGTCTTTTATCATTGTCTCTTATCATTGTCTCTTATCATTGTCTCTTATCAGTGTCTTTTATCATTGTCTCTTATCATTGTCTCTTATCATTGTCTCTTATTGTACTTATCATTGTCTCTTATTGTCTCTAATCATTGTCTCTTATCATTGTCTCTAATCATTGTCTCTAATCATTGTCTCTTATAATTGTCCCTTATCATTGTCTCTTATCATTGTCTCTTATCATTGTCTCTAATAATTGTCTCTTATCATTGTCTCTTACCATTGTCTCTAATCATTATCTCTTATCATTGTCTCTTATCATTGTCTCTTATTGTACTTATCATTGTCTCTTATCATTGTCTCTAATCATTGTCTCTTATCATTGTCTCTAATCATTGGCTCTTATCATTGTCTCTAATCATTGTCTCTAATCATTGTCTCTCATCATTGTCTCTTATCATTGTCTCTCATCATTGTCTCTTATCATTGTCTCTAATCATTGTCTCTTATCGTTGTCTCTTATCATTGTCTCGTATCATTGTCGCTTATCATTGTCTCTAATCATTATCTCTTATCATCGTCTCTTATCATTGTCTCTTATCATTATCTCTTATCATTGTCTCTTATCATTGTCGCTTATCATTGTCTCTAATCATTATCTCATATCATTGTCTTTTATCATTGTCTCTAATCATTATCTCATATCATTGTCTTTTTATAATTGTCTCTAATCATTGTCTCTTATCATTGTCTCTTATCATTGTCTCTTTCATTGTCTCTTATTGTACTTATCATTGTCTCTAATCATTGTCTCTTATCATTGTCTCTTATCATTGTCTCTTATCATTGTCTCTTATCATTGTCTCTAATCATTGTCTCTTCTTCTTTGGTTCTTTCGGTAAAGTCACGTAGAATGAGAATAAAATAATAAATTGATAAAATAAAATAACACAATATTATTCTCACGACGTTTCGGCCACAACGTCGTGAGAATATTATTGTGTTATTTTATTTTAGCAATTTATTATTTTATTCTCATTCTACGTGACTTTACCGAAAGAACCAAAGAAGATGAATCCTTGCAGTCACGAAAGCTTTAAATCGAAATTCATTGTCTCTAATCATTGTCTCTTATCATTGTCTCTTATCATTGTCTCTCATCATTGTCTCTTATCATTGTCTCTTATCATTGTCTCTTATCATTGTCTCTTATTGTACTTATCATTGTCTCTAATCATTGTCTCTTATCATTGTCTCTTATCATTGTCTCTTATCATTGTCTCTTATTGTACTTATCATTGTCTCTAATCATTGTCTCTTATCATTGTCTCTTATCATTGTCTCGTATAATTGTTTCTTATCATTATCTCTTATCATTGTCTCTCATCATTGTCTCTTATCATTGTCTCTTATCATTGTCTCTTATCATTGTCTCTTATCCCAAGTTGTTAACAACCTTGCTCAACTCGCATCCATCACATCTTCAATGGTGCTGTTTGACGCGTGAAAATTTAAATTCTGCTCATCGGCATCCTGCCACTGAGGTGAAAACCTCTCGCAGAAGTCAATGTATCGTCCCATATAAGAGAATAGCATCTGGAAGGTGATAATCAACACCTGAGATTCATTCATCATCATCAGCCAGGATCAATCCACTGCTGTATGAAGGCCTCCCCACATTATCACCATACTGCACTGTTCGCCAATGCCAAAATCCATCTCACTCCTGCCAGTTAGCTGATCGCATCAACCCACCTCCACTGCAGTCATTATCTCAGACAGGTTTTCATACTTGGCTGTGATTTTGTCGGCAGTCTTGTTGATCGGTCACCATCCCTTCTCGAGATCATCATCATCCTTCTCCCATGGTTGCTTACTTTTCACTTACTTTAATTAACAGTAACATATGATCTCTCTGATTTGTGTTTGTTACCTGATGCGCGTACATTTTCTGTTATCCAAGTGTAATCCCAAGCGTGGCACCTATCCATGCTAGAATTGTTTGTTGCATGACAATCACACCGAAAAATGTGTAAACATAAGGTACGGACATTTATATATATGTATAACAATAAGCACGGTGGTTTTTCTATTTTGTACAGTCATTGCTGGCCAAGCTGAGACCATCAACTTTCTACGATTGAGAAGCAAGGTTAATCAGCAATGGCCATTTGAATGAGAACTCAGTATCTTTGCAGAATCAGATGATTTATCTGATAAGGCATTTACTCTTTGTTCCACCCACCTACCTAGCTTCACGTGATTTGATGCTAAACTAAATTTGAGAAAAAAAAAACATAATGTATCCACGAACACATTTAATTTAGACGTCACATATTGGTTAATTGAACAGCTGTGATGTATATTTGTGTTTGTAAGCTGAAACTGTATTTAATATATTTTCACGCATTTTTGTGTTTTGAGGATTTGTTTTCTTTAATTTAGTTTTATTTATATAACTTGTATAACAACTATAAATGAGCATTTGTTTAATACACATTCCTATTAATTCCAAGCCAAACTTTGTTATGCGTTTACACTCATACACCTTTTACAGCAATGTGTACATGAGTCATTATTTTACGGACGAAAATTTAATATTCGCAAAAATGTTCAAGCATTAACAAGAGTAAATGCATTTTAAATTTTGATTTAAAGCTTTCGTGACTGCAGGGATTCATATTCTTGGTTGTTTCGGCAAAGTCACGTAGAAGGGAAACAATAAAATAATAAAAGTATAAAACAATAAAATTCTCACGACGTTTCGACTGCAACACAAGCAATCATCATCAGGTGTGAAAACCACAACAATCAAATTTTCTTGTTGTGGTTTTCACACCTGATGATGATTGCTTTTGTTGCAGTCGAAACGTCGTGAGAATTGTATTGTTTTATATTTGTATTATTTTATTGTTTCCCTTCTACGTGACTTTACCGACAGAACCAAGAGTATAATGCATTTTAATTATGCTGAATGTACCAAATGCATTGCATGTTTTGTGCTTCTTAATGAGCTGGCAGGTTAACTCTGCCGGAGTTACATTTCATCAATTATTCTTTGTGGTTGTCATGCCTAGCCTTCACATATCAGAATGTTGCATAATATATACTGGATACCGAAGATCACACAATTCTTACCGCAGTTCATATCTGGCATGTGAAATTAGTCATCATTTTTTTACATTGTTCTACATCTCATTAAAACAAAAAAATTGCACTATTACTTTTGCCTTCGGAAAATGTATATATGTATCACAGTGATATATAGCTGTGATCATTACTAAAACATCGGATGCATTACTTATTACTTTGTTATATAACATGAAACATATTTTGAAACTTAACAATAGCTACAGTTTCCACGACTACAACGATGTTGTAAACACAATACAACAATAATAATAATAAACAGGTCTATAAAAATATAGTTTCAGAATCTTAATAAGTTAGCTTTCATTTCCAAAAAATAATGAAACGCATATAATTACACCAAGGTTGTATGAAGAAGAAGAAAGTATCATCATACAATGTGAAGGGGAGTCTGACATGGGAACACACTGAAACCGAAGTCATTCAAAGTGACAATGGAGAATGCGTAATGATCATTGGATTGGAGAAGCAACGGCGTGGAGCGTAAATGGTGAAAATATTTGACAATCTCAGAGTTGCGCATGACATCCATGATAACAACCAATGGTAATGCTCTACAGGAAATGACGTAAGAATGTATTAACAACAAAAAAAGCCGCGAAGTTAGTCTGAAGTTAAATGTATTACAAGAAAACGTAGGTACATCAAGTTCCCCAAACAATGTAATATCCCTCTTGGAGAAACGCAACTGGAAGGAAGACCAGAATAATATATATATTTTTTTATAAATAGGCAGACGAGAGTAGTTTGGAGTGCTTTTGGAAAACTGAACTTAATATTGAAAAGCTAAATATTGCAAGAGACGTAAATTTACTCATCATATTCATTTTCGGTTCTTTCGGTAAAGTCACGTAGAAGAGAAACAATAAAATAATAAAAATATAAACAATAAAATTCTCACGACGCTTCGACTGCAACACTTATTTCAAATTTTCTTGCTGTGGGTTTTCACACCTGATGATGATTGCTTGTGTTGCAGTCGAAATGTCGTGAGAATTGTATTGTTTTATATTTTTATTATTTTAATGTTTCCCTTCTACGTGACTTTACCGAAAGAACCAAGAATATGAATCCCTGCAGTCACGAGAGCTTTAAATCAAAATCATATTCATTGTTAAGAAAAGTCAAATGAGCTTTGGCAGGACGCGTTGCCAGGAGGGATGATGACCAGTGGTTGAGAATAATGAGCGAGCGGCAGCCAAAGGAGTGAACGCATCTAAGAGGACACCCACAGCAGAGAGGGAGCAATGCATGTTGAACTTCTTTCACACCATACGCGGCCAACCGTGCTAATCGGAAGTGTTGGGGAAGAGCAACAAGCTAAACGCAAAAAAGCAGTTCTAAAGAAATGAGCTTTCAATCTACATCAGCTAGACGGATTGTCGCATTGGGGGAATCGTGAGAGATAGCAATGGATGCCTTCATTCGGCGGTGGGTAGATAGCGGCTGACGATGAGAATGACAAAATCTCCCCTTTTGCCCTCATTCATTGCCTTTTTCACTCAGATCAAGGCCCACCAGGATTGCTATACTTATTTATGCCTGTTCCTTTTTTGTCCCATGTTGTCTCTCTACAGACATTTTGCTCAACTTTCGCACAACATATGTGAGCAAGTCGGGGCAAGTAGTTTACGATGGGCGCTCCATCTGCGTGCACTACGTAACCACCTGGTTCTTCATCGACCTCATTGCTGCTCTGCCCTTTGACCTCCTCTATGCATTTAATGTCTCTGTGGTACGTACGGATTTTATTGCCCATTTATTGTTAATTTTGGCTAAACCGTCCTCCGTATTGATGCTACGTATGTATGTTGAACTTCTTTCACACAATCGTGCTAATCGGAGGTGCAGGGGGGAAGGATACAAAACGTTGTTGCTAGCAGGCCACAATGACAGCAAAATCAATATATATGGTTTTGCTTTAAATATTATTACCTACTTAAAAATGTCAAGTCAGAGTGTTTTCCGTTCAAAGGACCATTCATTTTTGTGAATGGATGTTGTGGATGTCCTAGGAATGGGTTCCTGTGGGTTATTGCTTAGATAGCGGGTATGCTCAGGCATTCTACCATCATAGAATTATATTGCATCTACAACTACTACCTGCCGACTGAGCCTACTGAATGTGTGGTTACTGTTTACTTCAAGGTTCTGCCATCAGCTCAATCAGAATATACGTAATCTTGTTTAAGGGCGAAAACTGCAGATTGAAAAATACCAGGATGCTTGTCAAACAATGTAGTAGGAGTAGGTGTCTCTTTACCATTTCCGGACACCCATAGTACTTTGAGCAAAATAAGTTCAACATACATACATATGAACAGAACAGAGACTTTGCCCTGTTGGGAACCTGTTCAGCAAGGCCCACTGACGGTCTGGCAGGGTGAATCCAGGTGAACAGACTCACTGTAGGATCTGTGATAAGGAACTGGTTTACAATTGATTTTTTTTTACGAGATCTGACCCCAAAAAATATGATAAGCCTCTTTGTTTGGCTATTATTTGTGGCCAGGTCGCATTCTGAAAAATAATAGCTCAGTGGGCTTTACCTGTTAAGATAAAAAAAGTGTTTATTCTCGATTTGAAGTTTTCGTGACTGCAAGGATCCATATCCTTTGGTTCTTTCGGTAAAGTCACGTAGGTGAAAAAATACAATAAAATAAATCACGACTTTTCGATTGCAACACCACCAATCATCATCAGGTGTGACAACACACGTCGTGATTTAATTTTTTTTTTCACCTACATGACTTTACTGAAAGAACCAAAGCATAAAGAGTGTTTAGTTGTATTCGTATATTATTTGAAGTGATTTGTTTACCTTTCCTGTTCTTTGCATTCCTGTCGTGTTGTTGTCATCGGTTGTTGTTGTTGTCACGTTTTAACCTGCCCTAACTGGACATGTGTGAAACAGAGCCTTATAGCTCACGGGATTTCTCCAGTATCAATTAATCTTCTGATTCTGAAATCAATTATTATTCATAATATGGGTCGCGAAAGGAACTGGCTTGGTGCTGATTTTGTCATCCATTGCTCCCACCAGCAAGTCACTGTCCAGCAGTCCTGGCACTTGGGTGGTGTGTCATCTCCTGACAGGTTTTACAATAAATCAAATGTATCTTGCCAGCGACTCGACATCCATCCTTGTGTTACGTACGAGGACTTGCTTAAATCCAGTGAGTCACTGGTGTTTTGATATCTCCTGAAAAGAGCTGGTCCTATAGGATAAAAATAAATAACAACACATCAACGTGAAGCAGTGCGAAGGAAGGAAGAGAAGTGTTATGACCTGCGGTGTGGTGGTTGAGCACAATATGGACGAGACAAAATACACTCGCAAAAAATACAACTTTTACATAATTTATATCAAATAGGTTTTTCATTTTTTTACGATCCTTGTTTCGTTTCAAATTCTGGATGATGCTCGAAGCCGATGGCCCTGCTAAAACTACAGTGGCTGCGATATAATTTATTGATGGCGTATAAAATGCATCGTTTAACACCAAGAAATATTACTTGGGGTGAAAGAACAGGTGATCTTGCAACAAATGTTTTTAATTACAATTCTTTTTTTTATAAATGTTACTTCATTTTTTTATTCACATATAATTTGTTTAGTTTGAATTCATACACGACGTGATGATTACAATTTTGGTACAAATCTGCTTCGACAGATGTAGTCATACACTTCAATGCAGTAATACGGAGAATGGTGGAAAAATTGCAATGTGATAATAAAAACAATGTAATCACTAAGGAAGGTGAAATAGTTTATTGAGTTCATGCTTTAAGAATTTGACGTGACCACTGTGTTTCAATGTTTTTTATTTAAGCGGCGTTAACGTTTTGTGCAATTGGAGGACAAACATGGGAAACATTTTAAACATCCTTGGCAGCTCCTTAAATTTGATCAGCACTCACAAACAATAATAATACGAATTTACATTTGTAAAGCTTATCTCATCCATATGCAGTATCCACATGCACTGAGGGGGAACGTCTTATTTTATTATTTGAATCATCCTGAACAGCACGGATGCATCAAAATACCAGAAACTAATGCGGCGTTCACAAAATTGCACGCAAATACAGCAGCCCATAGTTGAAACTCTCACAATCATGAAATAAATATGCGAATATGTACACACGTTGACCTTTTGCCAATCTACTGCTGGATGGTGGCCTCCCGACACTGTTTGGGTCATGGAGGTTGGTGAAGGTGGGGAGCAAAGACTTTGGGAGGGCAAAGAACAATACAACAACGGATGTTGCTGCACTGCCCAGAAGCAACCTAGAGCAACCTAACTGCTTCACACATGGTGAACACCCATCCAAGCTCAGTTTAACACGTAGGCTTTCACGACCAATATCATCCAATATAATCCACCCCACCCCCCCACTTTGTGCAAGAGCACAGAAGCGTGGTCACCACATCTACGCCTCCTCTATATAAGGAACGAAACAGTAAGTCTTCTCCACAAATCTGGTTGTCGCCTGATGAAGCTAGTTGTAATTACTGGCGAAACGTCGTACTCAGATTGTAAATGTTGTGGCTTGGCTCTCCAACACACCGGTTAGTGCTGTGCTAGTGACGAATTGGCCACGTTCTGTTTACGTGACAACCCTTACTAGTTGGCTGTGTCGGGTGGTGGCGGGTTTTAATGACACAATTATATATTTACGTGATCTAACTCAAAAAACCCATCCAAGGACTGTCCAGGCCCAATCTTGCTTAGATATGATGAGATTTAGCATAATAAAGGGTGATTTACTCATCGGCCCTGTCATAATATTATCTCGTTTAGTTGCAAGTGCATTTTATTTTTACATTAAAAAAGGCTGCGCTCTGAAACGATTCAATGCTTAGCATGAACAAAACAGTGATTGGCAGTGTGCTAGTCACAACAACAACAACATGGGGAATTTTGAATCCAGTGCTGCTATGTTTGGTAGTAACTAATTTAGAAGGGTTCACTCTGGAGGTCAACTAATTTTCGATAAGCAACCAATTTCAGTGGATCAGAAGAGTTATTGCAATAATTGAGGACTCATTATGCCCCGTCACTGTGATTCATCATTCCAGAGCACCCAGCAGGAGACTCTGAGCATCTGCTCGTAGCGATGGAGATGGTGTGAAACAATTTGGCGAGAGGAATGGAACAACTCAATTGTGCATTTGTATCAAATCACTCAATTGGGATTACGCATTGCAATCATCACTCGCCCACTGAAGACTTGACAGTGCCCTCTTAAAAAGGAGTCGTCAGATTCTGTGAGGCTTTCTTGGGTAAAAAAGATATGATAATGAATTATATCAATTTAACAATGTGGAAAATGTGAAATACTCTCCCAACACACTGGTGTGCTGAACTATTAACTAATTGGCATATTTTTTTTCTCATGACAAGCCTTATTAATTGGCTGTGTCAGGTGGTGGCGGGATTAACGACATATTTATATTTACGCAATCTAACCCAATAAAACATTTTGGATAACGTATGTATTGCTTTGTAGCACAATGTAAGTTCAAAGTATATTACAACATCATATCCCGACATAGATTAACTACCACAATATAAACAATATCTTCCTTCATCATGAGACATCCTTTTCCCCTTTTTTTCTGGCAACAAAACTGAAACCTTTTTACAAGGATTCATGTCTGCATTAACCACAATACCTGCAGTCAAAATGCAAACAAAAAACATGCTATGATAATATATGCATTCTCCTTGAAACTGATTGGTCCACACCAAGGAACGGCTTTCTTTTGACCCTCCACCCAATTGGTGCTCGACCAGACGACGTACTCAGATTGTAAATGTTGTGTCGTCTGGTCGAGCACCAATTGGGTCGAGGCACAAAAGAAAGCCGTTCCTTGGTGTGGACCAATCAGTTTCAAGTACAATGCCAATATATTATCAAAGTATGTTTTTTGTTTGCATTTTGACTGCAGGTATTGTGGTTAATGCAGACATGAATCCTTGTAAAAAGGCTTCAGTTTTGTTGCCAGAAAAAAAGGGGAAAAACCCTATTATTATTTTTTGGTACTGGCAAAGGAGGTCTAATGATGAAATATCTTCCTCATCAGATGAAGATGTCATGAAACAACATTAAATGTGTCATGTTTACGCAAGCGATTAATATAGCAGACTGAGTAACAAGGAAAATTTAAAATGAGGTTTGTTTTTCTAGCAGCGAGGGGAAATTAACATTTCTGCCATGCTTGTAGATTCGGACTGATGAACCATACAAAACGGAAGATTGGATTTACATATTGTACCTCATTTTCTATGACACACGTTAAGTTTTGATATTTGGTCAAACATCAAATATCCAGAGCTATGTCTGCAAAATGTGTTGCGGTTTTTTTTCTATTTAAGAGTACCAATTTATGTTTTAGCCCATAAAGCATGACACTCTGTTTCTAACCCTTGTTGAACGATTAATGCTTCCTTTGCTGGGACATTTCGCAAAACAAATAATTTTAAGATGAAATGTTGACCCATCAATAATAAATAAGTGTAGACTATGATTAATACAATTTTACGTGATCACAACTATTTCATCAGTTTTCTGCTCTAGGCATTTTAATATGTTGTTTATAGTTAGTCTAAAATCTGAGATTGTTTTAAGTTTACTATCTTGTTTTTAGTCTCTAATTATTATCCCCCTCTTTTTGGCTACTTTGCACCAGGCATCGATCACCACATGTGTTGTTTTTATTGAGAACAGAGATATCTTTAGCAATCTAGGCATTGTCCATTATATTGAAGTCAATCTCATTTCTAATTTCACTATTTCAGCTCTGCCAAGTGAATTTAAAAGGATACTTCTTTTTAAAAAAAGTTTTCAATTCATTGCATGCCCCTGCTTCCTTCAAACTCCAATAAAATATCAGCATTCTGATGCCTCACTCCAATGTCAAAATTTCCAATCATCCCATCTCCACACCTTTTACTTTTGCAATAATAAATATACGAAAGGTACTCGAATAAAAATAATAATAATAAGACAGCTCATTAAAAGAGGGATGTGAAAGGTTAAAAAGCAGACAACCAATTATGTAAAACCACAAAAGACAGGTTGAGGAAAAGGCGAAATTAAACAGGAGATGGGGAATGCGAAACGAAAAATCGCATACACAGAACTCTTTAAACAGTTAGAAAAATAATGAGAAGTTAAATTAGAGAAGAAAACATATCATTGAAGATGTTCGCGCAAGCAATGGGAGTATGAAAGCTGCTAAAAGGAGGTTGATGATTGACAATTCACAAATAGTATTATCCACTGGGGGGGGGGGGGGAGGATATGGAATCATAACACTTGACAGAGTAGAGGGATTTATGCGGGTTTTTAAGGCAAAAATTGAATATATTTCAGGATGTGAGCCATGTTTCAGATGAAGGGGAAGTGCCAGATGTCGTACAGACACTGTCTTTCACGGTACGAAGAAAAACGCGCAAAAGCTCCTGGACCAAATAAATGGTATAACCATGGACATCAGAGGAACAGGACCAGTCATTCGAATAAAATTAGAAGACTTATGTAATGTTTTCACGGAAATAAACTCCTCAGTCATAGAACAATGCCCATATCATTAATCTATTGAAACTGACACGATGATTTAGAGAACCATTGGCCTCTAATCGAAGGCGTAAAACACATCAGACACTTTGTGCGCAACATTTGTAGACTGTGAAAATGTATTTAACTTAGAAGAACCAGATGCAGTCAACCAAGCTATTACAAACCAAGACCTAAATATATGAATAAACTATTTTTTTTTTACCATAATAAGAACCAGTTCCAAGCTTGGACGTTTCACACTAAGATTATGAAGAAATTGTCAATAAATATATGAAACGAAGGTAGTCAGATGAGGAGACATGCATTCCTGAAATCTGCTGGCAGCGATATTAAAATATTATTCGTAAGAATTGGATTGGGAAAATCGTGGCATGAACGTGAAAATGTTTTTTTACCTATTTCAGATTTTCTAATTAAATTGTTATTACAACAGCCAATGGGAACGAATTTAATAAACAAAGTAAGTATCAAAGTGTGCCTTGATATAAATGAGCAACAGAAAATTACTTTTCAAGTTTGCCAAGGGCAGTTATTAAAGGCAGACCAGGATTTAAAAAAAAACAATGAAACGAACAGGTGAACAAGAGCAGGTTGGAATTGTTTTGAAAATATAAACTTATTCATGAAAAGCAACATATTCGTGTGCCACATGAAGAAAGCTTTTAATCAGTAAATAGTGCGTGCTATGACAAATCATCAGAAATATGGCAACTGACAAAGAACATTTGAACAAAAGCTGAAAAGTGCACGCAAGAAAAAGTGTGACGGAGTGTACACAGTTGTGCTCAGGGAACACATCCAAGAGGATGACCTCCATGGAGGTGAAGCAATGAGATGTGTATGTACGTTGAACTTCTTTCGCACCGTACATAGCCAACCGTGCTAATCGGAGGTGCTCACTTGCAGGAGCTATCTTTTTGAGTTGTTGTGTCATGTGACATATATCATGACTATGCGAATTTAAATGCTCGTTTTGATTTAAAGCTTTCGTGACTGCAGTAATTCATATTCTTAGCTATTTCGGTAAAGTCACGTTGAAGGGAAACAATAAAATAATAAAATATATATAAACAATAAAAATTCTCACGACGTTTCGACCATAACACAAACAAATATTTGTGGTTTGAATTAAGTTAATATTTCCAGTTGCCTGTTGATGCTGTGAACAGCTTTATAATCCTAGAATTTACATATACATTAAAATTTCATGTGCAGAGAATTCCATCATTTAATTAACATCAGTGTATTTTCCATAAGCAAACAATATCTGTGTAGGCATTTGCTTGCCTGATCCTCAGACGGAAGCAATATTCCCAGTGGAAGTTATTTTAAAATGTAGTGATATACATGTATATGTATTGCTCAAAATACTGTATAATAATAACATTTATTTATTATAGGCATGTATCAAAACAAAATGTCCGTGCAAAATTGTAAAACGTTTCGAGCCACTAGTTAAACATGCTAAATTAAAATGACACATAAGCAACCAAGTATGCAAAGTAACAAAGCGGTTAAGCTGCCCGCGCATCAGACTTTGTGGCGTGCCCTGAAAGTGGCCGCTAATATTGGCGGTGTCAGACCAGATGCTTTGGGAGGTTGTGTTGGGAATTACCAGACACAATGAGGAATGTGGACCATGTATTTACAGGGTCTTCTAAGGTGTTAAGTCCCAATGGTCCCTACCTCAACCATCTGTGTTTGAGATCAAGGTTGTATTTGGGGGGAGCGGTGGTGTAGCGGTTAGCGCGCTGCGCTATGAACATAGTGACCCGGGTTCTATTCCCGCTCACGGCCAACGCCGGTGACGATGATCTGACCCGGTCCTGGGCCTGCCCTAGGTCGACTCAGCCTCAAATGTGGACCTGGTGCGATGTGTAAACAAAGGCGGCCGAGAATGGTGTTGGCCACCCACCCCCTCGTGTGCTGTGCCAACCTTCATAGGCACTCACTAAAAGCACTTGCCACAACAGTCTGTTACAGGCTATACGGCAGATCTTTGTCTTTTGTTATTTGGATCTCATATCACTGGGATCTATGCAAATATCTTTTCCCGCGCTCGGGTACGTTAATGTGCGTCCCTTTGTCAATCCACTGCTGGGGTTGTTTGACCGTACTTCACCACTGCTGGTGAGTGAAGCTTTTATGAAGTCAACTTTCGAAAGTGTGCGTTGTCCCGGTGGGCCGCCCCTTTGGTTATAAATAACGGTTTTCATTCCTTCACCTTGGATTTGTTTTCTTTAAAAAAAAAAAACCCCTCATTGTGACCTCGCAGCCCCAGCGTGTGCGCGAAATTGTGTTCTGTTTCCGCAAAAAAGAATGCCTCATCCCACCTGAGCTCCCCGTGCGTGTCCAGACAACGTTGGTGCACCTGCTGAAGACGGTGCGGCTGCTTAGGCTGCTGCGACTGCTGCAGAACCTCGACCGCTACTCGCAGTACAGCACCGTGGTGCTCACCCTGCTCATGTTCATGTTCGGTCTGCTCGCTCACTGGATGGCGTGCATCTGGTACAAGATCGGCAGAGCGGAGATCGAAATCAATGACCGTCACAGCTGGGACATCGGTGAGGGGAACGTAAAGCAATGCCGTTTTACAGATAAATGCATTAAGGGCTCCAGACCTCTAAAGCGCCGATATTAAACCGGCAAAGGTTTTGAGAAATCTATTTTTTTTTTCCAAACATGTATGATTCCATTTTAAACCAAAAAAATGCGTGTCACCTGCGTCGACAGGGTGGATGAGGGTTTACGACAGACATTTTGTTTATGCGATCTGACCCAAAAATATATTATGATTCATAATATTGGCAACGAAAGCCTATGTGTTCAATAACCAGTGACTTCTTAAAGCACAACATGTCACTAACAGTCAGTGTTTAATCGCCTTCAAATCAGCTGATACACATTTTCAGGCTAAACGTGGAGATGAGCTCACGTGGGTGCGTGCACACAATCTGCGTGTTGTCCGACTTCAGGAATAGGTATAAACCCCAGAAGCCAGTTTGAAAAACGGTGTTTTAAAAAGCACAAAAAAGATACACCATATTTAGCCATTCAAAGACTGCTGGGGCAATTGCTGTTAGGGAGCACCTTTTGAGGTCGGCACGGCGCACGGGTGGATCATGTGGCCAGCACAGTGGCCAGCCATCCATGTCTCCGCAGTGCCGATGTTTAACCACCACTCCAAACGAGGGCCTTGAGTGACTCCAGGTCCTCATTTGATCCTGAGTGTGCCAAAGGCAGGCTCAGGATCGGTTCTGAAATCACACTCAATGTGAGCTGTGGCCAGGAATCGAACTCAGGGTTTGGTAGTGCATTGCCTAAGCTCCCGTATGCGAAGCTGCACGTACAGAATTAACAATGTTGGCAGTGCGAGACTGCACGTGTCGATTTTTATCAATTATTTTTTGGATTTCGTTTGTCCACATTCCCAGTTTTTTTTCCAATCCTGAAACTCTTTTGACCTGAACACGGTGTGCCTAACGGGGCTCACAAGTGCACCTTTTAGAGGAGCATGTGCATTTTAAAATATAACACCTACTAATTAGAGCATTGTCTGATCATACAATCTCACAATTTGAAGATAGTTTGGTGAAAAAATTTGGACTAATTACTGTACATCCGTTCATGGTGTTATTAACCCTTTAGATATTATTGCATAACGTTGTATAATCTGCGATGCTTATTCATTGTACGTACGTATTTCATCGCATTGCAAAAGTAAGCGTCACTCGAGCGTAATGACACCGTATAATTTGCATTGTGTGAGTAGTACACCACCGTCACGCTAACTGCCTGCTTGGAATGTGATAGACAATGCCAGTGCAAGCGGGCAGTGTCACGGCACGGTGCACTCTCAGGCAAGTCGAATCTCTGTGTCCTTGAGCAATAAGCTTCCCAGCGTACATTCGGGTTTTACCTCTTGTTATTGGGCGTGATGTCGAAAGTTTCTCTCTATTTTGCTCCACGGAGCGGCAGAATTGCAGAGTGGGTAACGATTTTGCCTCACAGCAAGCATCGCTTGAGTTCAATTCCCGACCCGGGCGTCTTGCTGTGGGGAGTTTGAAAGTTGTTCCCCAGTTCTGAATTGGTTGCCTCAACGGTTCTCTGGCTTCCTCCCATAGCTAAAACAAAAGCATCCTAAGTCTGAAAATAGAAATGACCTGAAGAATACTCGCTTGGGATTACGCATAGCAACCTCGCCCCGACTGCGAACAAAATAAACTTTGGCAGGACTTGAAAGAGAGTTACGAGACTCTATGAGGCTTTCCTGGGTAAAGAAGTGTAATAATAATAATACATAAATTGATCTAACAATGTGAATTCTTGTTTTTAAACTTAATCTATTAATTTATTCATAGCAAATCTAGGAAACGAATTCGTTCAAAGTAAATGCCAACATCATTTCTAGATCTTCTTCCACGTAACGGGAGAATTAAATTCCTGAAGAAGTCCCCCGCAGTTGGAGTGAAACGTCGATACATACGCTTTGGTTTTTTTGGTAAAGTCACGTAGGTAAAATAAAATAAATGAAAACAACTAAATTAAATCACGACGTTTTGGAGGCAACACAAGCTTCCGTCTTCAGGTGGAACAGTCACAGCAAAATAGCTGTATCAAGTGAACAGCTCTGAGACACCCGAGATGATATACAGGTTAAGGGGGGGGGGGGGGAGCCAGGAAGGGATGTGGGTGGGGGGGGGGCTAAGTTAAGCCGCCTTTTGTTATGCTGCAGGGGGTTCGGGGGAAGAGATGGCGTGCTGCATGTAAGCGAGTACAACCCACTGGTAGAAATGGAAATGGCTGTACAATTATAAGGCAGCTAAAGTTTGACTTGGTTGATGACATCTTTCCAATGGTTGCTCAATTCAAAACCATCCTCTCGTCCATACATGCTGAACAACAGCATGCGGTAACAACCCGAAGACGCTCCGCAGTGGACACAATCATCTCAGTTGCCACCACTTTAGCCAGCGGTGATAATTTCACATTTCTATTGATAGGGGGGAGGGGGGGGGGGGCTGTGTTATTTGTTGATGCTTCACGTAAGTATTCATTCAACTTTTTAAATCTTCAAAGGGAAAATAGACTGAGTTTACCCAGACCTTGAATTTAACACTTGACTTGTATTATAGACTTAGTGTACTTCATGACTCGTGCATTCTGATAGTTTCCTCGATTTGTTTGTTTCTGCATGGGCTGCATTTACACACGTGCACCACGTGTTTACATCATATAAAGACAAATAGCCCCCATATAGCCGGAACACACTGTTGTGGCAAGTGCTGTTAGTGAGCGCCTATGAAGGCCGGCACGGCATACGAGGGGGTGGGTGGCCAACAACACGCCCGGCCGCCTTTGTCTCCCCAGTGGCGATGTTTACACACCACACCCGGTACTCATTTGAGGCTGAGTCGACCTAGGGGAGACCCAGGAACCGGTTCAGATAATCGTCACTGGTGTGGGCCGTGAGCGGGAATTGAACTCGGGCCGCCGGGTTCATAGCGCAGCGTGGCGCTAACCGCTACACTACCGCTCTTCACACACACACACCGTATACAGTGCTGTGTCCATTGTATTTGAAGCCGGATAAAGAAGGCATGCAGATGAGACTTCCATAATCTCTTCCGCTTCCTTCAAATCAAATTCCTCTATGTTCAATTGGATTGCAAACAGCATATAAACTAGTAATAAAAAACTAGCGCGCAGATTATCCAACACATTTGAAAAGCATTAGAGTGGATGCCATTTGTTTCTTCTTATGTTTGTGTTTCAGCTGCAGACGCATTAATGTGTTGAGAGAAACGAATTGTGTTTTTTGGAGGTTTAGGCTTATTTGGACAGTGGGGGGAGGGGCGGCTTTATTGGTGTCAGTGTGTATTCCATCGCGTTATTACACAAACACGTATCAGGAATACACGGTGGCTTTTGTGTGCCAAAAGGAAAACCAGTGGGTTATCACCAAGCTTAAGATTACCTAAAATTGGAGTGCTATTTTTTCCCGTACATGTGTGATTTTTTATATATATAAAAGAAAAAAACCGTATTAAATTTGTACAGCGACTATTAAAAAATAACACAAAAAAAACTCAGAGGTTAGAATGACACAAGGCCAATTTTTTTATTTAATTGATGAAAAAAATAAAATATATATTCTACAGCTGGCTTAAACAGGTATTTAATAGCATATACCGAATCAAACATAACATTGTAAATATGACACGAATGTGCGATACAGTGTTGGCAGCGGTGCACGCGTGAAAATAATCAACAACAAAACCACATTCGTCAATAACACTACCATGAAGTGTGAAACACATCTAACAGGCAGCATTGTGGGCAATGACGCTTCTTGATGGCATAGAGAAAGCGACCAGAGAGTTGAGAGTGCTCATCGTGCAGTTTTCAGCGACGAATCCCTCAATCTCTCTGCCCTCTCTGTGCTGAAGGCGGGCCATTTTCTTAAAATGTGACTTAAATATATGTTGCGTCCTCTTTAGCAGGCGGTACCGTGGACCAATGCGTTAATGTTTTGTTCCCGTTAATATGGGCAAATCCAACGTGAGACGTCTCAGTGGTTAGTATCAATTATTTTTCAATTAAACCCATTTCCAAAGGCTTGCCACGTGGACCCGTTTGTTGCAGGCTGGCTGCACGAACTGGGCAAGAAGCTGGAGACACCGTTCCACACCAACAACACGGGCGGGGGTCCGTCCACACGCAGCGCCTACATCGCCTCGCTCTACTTCGCTCTCAGCAGCCTCACCAGCGTGGGCTTTGGCAACGTGTCGGCCAACACCGACGCCGAGAAGATATTCTCCGTTTGCGCTATGCTCATCGGAGGTAAGGCTGTGAGGCCAGGGGATCCATCAATCTGTCCTGCAACCCATACGTTCCAACACAGAAGGCCCGCTTCAAAGCAGCGATTGTGATTTTATTTCACACCTGATTCGATCTAGTGATAGAAGAGGCAAGCAGGCTCATAACACAGAATGGAGGGGTATTTTTTGGTGGCAACAGGCGATTATGTGTTGGGTTTAGTCTGGTTTAATTGCGCCTGTGCTGCGTTCCACTGTTAATTTAATATATTTTAAAAAATATGTTTTCTACTGTACATACAAACAGAATATGCGTCACAGTCGGTGACCATAACGGACGATGTCTTGTGAAGACATTTACAACATGGAGTTGCGGATTCACCCTCTTTACTCGTGGGAGCCATGCCAGGACTGATGAGGACCCTCCGTGTAGAGTGGTTGTTTCTAATCTACTATCTTAGCACCAATCGCACGATGGGAAGTCAGCAACCATCTATCATCTCGCCTTATCTCTGCCTCTCTACTACATGCAGTCTGCAGACTACCTGCTGGATCTCCTCTCTGTTTCAAAGAACAAATTTGACCTCAGGTCTTCGCTCAATAACCAGCTTCACATTCCCTATTGCCGTACAAAAACTGGAGGAACGTCCTTTGCTATTGATGCCCCCATTGTCTGGAACGCTATTGCCAATAAACTGCAACTTGAATCGCTACCAATGAGATATTCTCTCAAAACTGCTCTAGAGGAGTTGTACACCCCTAGCTGCCACTGCTATTCATTGGCGTAAAATAAAATAAAATGTTTCACTCCGGATGACGCTGCAAAGTATTATCTGTATTTTGATTTAGCGTGCTGATCTTAAAGGTGCATTGAAAAAATTGATACTCCGACTGATGCTTCTGTTGTTGTGGAGTAACTCATGCAGCCAGCTATGGCTCTAGGGTTTGGTGTTACATGTTATTTATGTAGTTTATTGTAAAAATTCGGTCACAGTTCCTATGATCACTGTTACGTTGCAATTATGGCTTTATTTTTTTTGGTGATTTCGAAAAGTTTTATGGTTTGGTCATGTTTGTTTTGTTGTAGTACGGAGTTAGACTGATGGCCTTAATCTAAGTTTTCTTGTGGTTGTTGTTGTTTGACTTGCATCCCACTGGGATTTTTGCACACAGCGTTGGTGTACGGTGCTTTTTCAGGAATATTTTGCTGTTTTTTTAATGAATTTTCTGTTTGAACAGTCACAGTCACATAGTCACTTTAAGATGTTTTATTGTTCGTGTTTTAGTTTTTTTGTTTTTTTTTGTGGTTGCACCCGATTCAAGAGCCGAATGGCTCACAGGGCTATACCAAATAAATATTGTGAAAACTAAAAAATAAATAAATAAACTGAAAGCTTTCTCATTAGCCGTAAACTACTTTAAAATGCATTAAATATGTATCATCTCTCCACAAAGGCAGCATTTAGCAAAAATGAATTTGTTTCAATTGTTCAGCTTTATTTTATACTTTGTGTGTCGATGCAGAAAACTAGTTAACGCTGCACAGTTTGGGTTTTAACAGATTGGAAAGTTTATCTTCGCTTAAAATTTAAATACAAGTCAAAAAGAATTCACTGTACTCTGAGTGTAATGTGCGTGGTTAATGTTCTTCAGCAATTAAGCGACATTGAAAATAATTGTCAATTACAATTGCAATTACAATGATAAACCCACACATAACACCCCTGGGCTTTTGATTAATTTCATAAGGTCACTTTGGCATGTACATTTTTGTTATAGTATCAATCACAATTTGTGGGATATAGGTCATAAACACATCGACACATTCGTTCTCATGGCTCAGAGAGCCGACTGTCTTTATGCAATGTGTCATAACTTGTAACATTTTTACACATTCATGATGATGTATTCAGCAAATAGCATTCAATTATAAGAATCAGTGGCACATTCTCAGATATCCTAGCTCATGGTTAAAGGATTTGAGTTCAAGTTCGAGTAAGGGATCAATAGACTTCATTGTAATCCCCTTTGAGGTTGTTAAAATAAGTACCATTTTGTGGGAAATTCCATAAAGATTGTGTTATGGGGGAGACTGGTCCTCATTGCAAAAACATGACATTTCCAGCATTCATTCAGAACCAAAGGATCTCAAATTAAATCATTAACAACGCTATGATGCAGGCGCTCTGTTTCACAGACGAGTATAGCCTACCAGTAGGGGAGACGTTGCCACGTGGTTTTAATCAATGAAGTAATTTTGCAGGTTATTACATTTTTTGTCTAATTCACACCCTGATGTCGGCAGGCATGGCCGTGATCTTTAACGTACACATGTATGAGCAGCCAATGCCTATTCAGCGGTTAATACACCCGCAGTATTAATCAGGGTGGCCGCTGTTTTCGAACCGCGATCCTCTGCAACAACAAGCGGCCAACGCGCGACCGCTGGGTCACGTCGCCGCCCCTTGAGATGAACACCGCACCGAGCGAGCGCGTGGGTCACTTGCCATTATTCTCAACCACGCTCTCCGTTTGCGAACCTCGGTGCAGCGCTGATGCACGCGGTGGTGTTCGGGAACGTGACGGCGATCATCCAGCGCATGTACTCGCGCCGCTCGCAGTACCACACCCGCACCAAGGACCTCAAGGACTTCATCCGCGTGCACCGCCTGCCCAAGCAGCTCAAGCAGCGCATGCTCGAGTACTTCCAGACCACCTGGTCCGTCAACAACGGCATCGACACGCACGAGGTCCGTGCACTTCACACAGCCTCGCGGACACTCCAGCGGTGGGGGGGGGGGGAGACCGGCGCTTCTATACCTTACCCAGCTGCGTTCGACAACAACCACACTCCAGGCTCCACTTTTGGAGTTCCGTCCTCCTGTTTCATTTCCTGAATTCGTGTGACTTTGCTCTGGTCAGGAAAACTTTGCTGACTTTTATCGAAAATGCCTTCTGTGGAACTGTTTGTTGTTGACCGCTTGACGATTTTTGGCCTGTTCACAGCAACTGTGATATTTTTTTTTTAAAAACGACAAGATCCCTATGTCCAGTAAGTTTCAGTAGCTGTCGGGAGTGAGTGTTATAATAGCAATGCATCGATTAATTTATGAAAATCTATTTTTTTTTTGCAACGAGACATGCATCAAACCTAGTATTATTATGCATGTGTATAATTTATGAAAATTGTACGCAATACTTTATGCAAAATTGTACGCAATGATGTTACATTTGTGTTAATGGAATATATAAAACTATACAAATAAGACAGAACAATTTAAAATACAAATGCGATGGTAAATCTGAGACAAAAAAACAATCGATAGAGGTGAGTGCTGGAGAGTAAACCCACAACGTTTACAATTCGTGGGTGCTGAACGAGTAACGAATTAGCACGTTTTGTTTACGTGACAAACCTTACTAATTGCCTGTGCAGAGTGGTGGCAGGTTTAACGACACGTTTTTATCTTGACTTAAAGCTTTCGTGACTGCAGGAATTCATATTCTTTGGGTCTTTCGTCATCACCTGATGTGCTGCTATCGAAACGTCGTAGTTTTTTGTTATTTTTCTTATTTCTTTGAACCTATCTATGTGACTTCACCGAAAGACCCAAATAATATGGACACGTTTATATTTACGCGATCTAACCCAACAACCTCTATCATGGATAATATAGTGTTAAAGCAAAAAATGAGCGGTTCTTGAATCGGATCACAACCCCCAAAAATTATGAAATTTTCACTAAGTCACTCGAGGGGGTAAATCATTATACGTCTAGGGAAAGTGATAATTAGTTACATCCCCGCATTGGTGTGCCCTAGTTAAGGTAACCTGAACAGGTTGATGAATTGGCCGCAGGATCAATAGAACATGAAGCGCATCCTGCCAAGTCAGCCCCCTATGATAGGAAATCACGTGAGCAAAGTGGCGTTTCATTGACATTGGTCCCTAACATCATTGGCCTACTCTGTTCTTCAGGAGCGGCCAATCAGCACACTGTAAGACATGATACATGTTTCAAAATGCTGGGCACTAATGAACTCACTTTTTTTTTGGTGTGTTGGAATACATGTTGCAAATCAGTACAAATGAGATGTAATATTTAACGGAATGGCGATCACTTAAGTGTATCATTAAACAGCATACGCAGAGGCAGATTCCGGGCAAGTGGCAGGTTTTAGTTTTTGCATTTTTGTAGACCATTTATATCCTTATATAGCCCGTTTCTCCCAGACACAAATCTGTTTTAAACATATTCTCACTTGTAAATATTGTCATATTTAACTTCACCATCCTAACTATAGACCGATTTTTTTAAATGCAGTTTTCAACACAAACATTCCCATGACAAACATTGAAATGGTATTCTTATAATGCCAAGAATATGTTATGGTTTTATTTAGCACCAAAGGTCTTCACAAAGTTTATTCAAAAGGTACTGTTTATCGTGATCCCTCTGGACTATGCATTATTTTGCCAAAGGAATTAAACGTGTGATGTTCTCCTTTTTATATATAAATAAACGTCGTCCCTTTTGCTCATCAGTAGATTAGTGGAAGTACTTGGCAAATAACGATTCACCTCTTACCCAATGATTCAGCGAAATATCACAATAAGGAGGTTCAAATGTTCTTGTTCGCCCGTCTCATTTGTGTGGTTGGTCTCTCGCATGTTCTCTCTCGTTTTTTTTTTCCTTTTGCCTAGAGGTTCACAATCGCGATTATTTTTCACGTATTTTAAACAGTCGGCTGTCGCACGTACGATCCGACGCGCACATACACGAGAGCGTCGGCATCAATTGCAATGGGGGGGGGGGGGTGGGTGGGGGAATCATAACACCCCCGACGTGTGTCACAGTGTCACGCCTTCCTCCTCCTCCTCCAGCTGCTCAAGGACTTCCCAGACGAGCTGCGTGCAGACATCGCCATGCACATGAACAAGGAGATATTGCAGCTTGCCATCTTCGAGTCGGCAAGCCGCGGCTGCCTGCGCTCCCTCTCGCTCAGCATTAAACCCTCGTTCTGTGCACCGGGGGAGTTCCTCATTCGCCAGGGGGATGCACTCCAAGCTTTCTACTTTGTCTGCTCCGGCTCCATGGAGGTGCTCAAGGATGACATGGTGCTTGCCATTCTGGGTGAGCTCATTTCCTGCGGCATGTATTCAACACACGTGGACATTATTGCCGGTTTTGTTCGGTGGAATTGTTACGTCATAATCTTGGTGAGACGCTCCTCAAAAGAAATAACTCAAATGATGCAAAACACAGCGGCGTGTGGTCGTTGGCATGGGTCTTGGGAAAATAAATAAAATGCCCCCCTCCCCCATCTCCCACCCCGTCCGTCTTCGTAGCCTAGCGCCTAGGACCCAGTCTAAATAAATATTCTGATTCTGACCCTCTAGCCTATTGGTCCCAGTTCAGCTGCTCTGCCGGCACACATGACAGTTACACCACTGGCAAAAACGTATGAAGAATGGCTCTTTAGCTGATATAAATGTTGCTCACTTAAGTGTTCAATAAAGTTCATACTTGCTGCTTTCTCCTGTCTCATAAAGCAACACATTGGTGCATTTTGGAGCATTCATTAAATGGCCCAGGGCATACTCATGGCAAGCTGGTAAAATAATGGTGGAGCCCAGTTAGCGGTTACATGAATCATTGGAGAATAGACCTCGATGTACCCATTCCCTGAATTCTCAATAAGACTATCATTAATACAACTCCACCTTGGGTCACATAAATAATTCGCCACAGACTATAAATATACACACATGTATAAAATACAACGATAAAGATCCCCCGTATAGCCTGACCAGACCGAGTACCTATGAAGACCGACACGGTACATGAAGGGGTGGGTGGCCAGCACCACGCCCGACCGCCTTTGTCTCCCCCAGTGGCGTTGTTTACACACCGCACCAGGTACTCAATTGAGGCTGAGTCGACCTAGGGGAGGCCCAGGACTGGTTCAGATAATCGTCACTGATGTTGGCCGTGAGCGGGAATCGAATCCGGATCGCCGATATTGTAGTGCGGTGCGCAAACTGCTACCCACATGTGCACACACACGTATATATTCTACATAAATCTCATTTTAAAAACAAAATAGGTCATGTAGTAGTTGTACCTGGATATTTACTATTTAGTATGAAGTTAATTGCATTCTTATTTAGTTCGAAGTCATGATAAAGGCCTACCGAATCTATCACAATATTTCACGATCTTGCAATGTCATAATACACCTTTGAATTTTTCTTTAACTATTTTACGGAAACAGAAAATATGAATACAACAATAAGTGCTTTCCTTTTCACCAGAGCTCACTGCTACTTACAAATAGAACCCTGAAGGCTATCCACTGAAAGAAAAAAACATTCTAATAATCTACTGTAATAATTTATAACTTTTCAACAGCCAGTTTGTGAACAAAATACTTTCAAGCTACTAATTATATATATAAATGACAAATGGCATGGCATGGCGTTTGAGGCAATGGGGAAAGTTTTCGTGAAGAACTCTCATCCTCTGTCCGCCCAGCAGTATAATTTGTGGGGTAAATTGTGGGTATCCCACTTCAAAATGTGTCCGGCCAGCATGGAAGAAAAGACCAAATACCCTCGAGAGGGACTCTCCAGAGCTCCCTCCCAGCAGAGGCCCTTCGGCTAACCGCTGCGTTCGCATTTGCAGGGGCTGCACCTTTACCGCTCAGTAAACACGCGGTGATTCCATCAAATCTGAAAATTACTGAAGCAAATTGCTTTTCTATCGTCTTTTGGACTAAGGCTGCAGATTGCAGAGAGGTTGACCTACCTGGTGCAATGATTTACATTGCAGACACGGCCGCATTTGAAAACAATGTGAATAAAACAGGCAAGCAAAAAAGCTTTGACAGTTTTCTGCTTATTTCATACACAGTAGTTGGTGCTACATACTCATTACTTAATAATACGTTAATAATACGTCTGCGCGACGCATCACGTCACTCATTGATTGTGAGTAGAGGTGAATTTTCGTGGTCAGCTTTGTAAACCCTTCGAGGTTTAATTTGTATCAGTGGTACATTTCGCACTGTCCTAAATAGGAAGAAGACATAGCATAGGCCTTATCTCGATATCGTAGCGCTACACTGTCTTTTTTCCGTAAATCACAAGCACAAAAATAAAATGAAATCTATACTTCACGTAGCAATCAATGACAAGGTGCCACGTTGGCTGAGAAGCAAACTTGGTGAAAATTCTTGAATGTAATACCGTAATTGTGAGAAGCAATGGTGTTTTTTTCCCCTCTGTGGTTTAAAGGGAAAAAGTTGGGTGCGCGTTTTTTTATAGTCACACCGATACTCTCAGCTCCTCGAGCTGAGCTGAGCTGGTTGCATGCATCTCCTTCATCGTGTCCAGACTCGTTGTGCCAGTGCCGAGTTGTCCCCGTAATGTTAATTTACCCCCCCCCCCCCCCCAGGAGTTTCTTGAAATGAAAATGTAACACCTGTACGAAACACGTAATTAACAGCCCAGTGGCTAATACTCTGAAATAAATTCGCATTGGAGAAAAAAAAAAACTTAAATATATCGGTGATAATACCGTAATGTTAAGCCAATGTAATATTCGTTACGGTGGTAACCGTAACAATGATCACAGATACTGGGAAGTAAATACGTGCAGAAAGGGAGCATCTCTGGACCAAGTTAAAGGGATCATTGGGTTGCTGGACCAGAGCCTGGCCCCTTGGGCCATGGCCATGTGGCGTTGCTCCCTTAGCCCCTGGCGCTGCATTGCACTCGGCAGGGCTGAGCGCTCGGGGGTTGCCACCCGTCCGTCCTGCTTTTCCCAGGATAGTCCTCTTTTTGAGGTCACTGTCATGGCAAACATAGAAGTCTTGCCAGGACATAAAAACAACAACAACAACAACAACAAAAATGTTTATTGTCAGTTGCGTAACATTAGATACATCACTCGAGGTGAATGCATTTATATGCATTTCTCGCATTTTCGGGCATTGTGAGATACCCTTCTTGCCGCGATAAGTCCCATTTTGTACATCGGAGGTGGCAGCCCCACTGAGGGCACAGGTCGTCAGCACAGTGCTTTGGGCACCGGTAAGGGATGAGTGGAAGCAAAACACATCCATTTGCCACTTTTGTTCAAAGCAACGTGGGTCATCTTGTATTACTTTAGTGCGCATCTGCATTACCATTTGCCAAAGTCAAAAATAATGTTTTAAAACCCCCTCCGAACCACACATTGTACCAAAAAAACACGAGTGGATGAAAAGTGAACGAGGTTTGATGTCAGCCAAGAAAGTAGTATAGATTTATTTTCAGTGAGGCTTTATTTTATTTAACATCATTGAGTTTATCTGTCAGTGTTAGCAAACGTAGCTCGGGTTTTTTTTTTCTTCTTCGCGTTCAAGCCAGTTACAAGGGATTCCACCGTCAACATTTCTCTTTTCAATTTGTTATCTGATCCTCGGTACACTGAGGCAGTCTCCGCACCATGCTGCTTCACGTGTGATTACACTCAGCACGATTAGGATACCCTGTGGTTGACATCTGGCAAGGCACGTTGTAATATTCGGCACGATGAAGTTAGACTGTTAGAGGCTCTCTGAAGCACACCGTATTTGTTGCATAAAAAAACCGATTCCACTTTATTTGCCCGAATTTCCATTAATTGACATTCAGTAAGGAAACAGAAATTAAAAATTATATATATAACAAAGAATACGGTTCGTGATAGCACATAGCTAACTACACTGCTGAATAACGTGTCATGACGAAGGTGAAACAAAGAAATAAAATATATATCTACACAAACGTGCATACTATAGGACATGTAGGTGACATAGACGATGTAAGCTGGAAGCAATTAAGCTGTTTGGCAATAAATCTCTTTTACACAAGTGGCGAACCCAAAATTAACATACATATGAGGTCATGGCAAATGTCAAAAGTCGAAGCACCAAATAACTTTGTCAATAAGCCGGATTAAGTTACTGACAAACCATCTATTGAATAGCAAAAGAGCTAAATCGTTATAAGATCCATAATTGCTTAACAATGTCAAGACCTGGTGCATGGAACAAAAAAATAAACAATATCACACCAACGTATCATACAGCAGAAGTGTAAAATGTCGGATTAAGAAAATATTATTTGTATAGCCAGAGAGCAAAAAAAAAAAAATACCTAAACTCAAATGAACACTAAACATAATGCCAAGTTGTATATGCAAAGAATTATAGTGAAAAAGCAAGCATGCCACATTTTAGTAACGCTAATTATATCTGATTATAATGACACGCCCAGATAACACGAAGCTACCCAGCAAGGAACAATTAACGTGTCGCATGTGCCAGAACCATCCACATGCACCCACGTACCGCAACCACATTGACGTGGCGGATTAAAACGACGCGGCATGCATCGTCAAGACAGACGACCAAATCCGAAACTTAAAATATTCTTGCCAGATAAAACGCCATATTAAACCAGAGAGAAAAAAAAACATAAAAAAATCTCTTAAAGAGACAATGGAGCAAAATAAAAGCCTCCCCGAGGGCCTTCAGCCTCGAGGGCAGACCAGGGCGGGAGTCGCTTGCCACGGTGTGCACCCTGGGGAGACCGGGAATCCCCTGCCAAAAATCTCACTGATCCCAGGAGACACCACTTTCGGAAAAAAAAAACTATTAGAAAATTCCACCCCACCGCTCGTTGAAAGCCAACCGCGACTATCCTATTGGGGGCCTTGAAGGGCCAGTTACAAACCCAGAGCCTTCTGAGTCCGAGAATGTGGTGTCCCTTGTCCCACTGGACCGCTGGTGCTATAAAAAAAACATGAAAATCACTTTTCTCTAGTGAGGTCCAGTGAATAAAACCTTTATCACTAAGTAAGTGTATATTGAGATCCATTGCCACGTCTGCAAGGAAGATCAACGAATGTCAAATTGTACAGAATAAATTATCAAAGTGACGTTTTCTGGTCAGTCACTTCTCAATTTAGAATTTCATTTTGCCATTCAGCACACCATGGTCTCCTCTTATACCAACCATCAATGTACATACTTGTTTTACTTAAAGTGTTGCACATAAACGCATTTCTCTACCTCTTTACGCGATACTGTTAACCTCTCTGATGATTTCATCACAACGCTTTCATAATTTCATTTCCCACAGCTTATTGTGAGCAATTATTCAGACCACACAGTACGGTTATAATCCATGGCATCTAACCAAACATATGGATGGACAGTAATTTCATGACACGAGTGTGTGTTTGACATTCCAGCATTGAAAAGATTAATCCACAATTTGAAAACGTGGCTATTTTCCTGTCTCTCGGCGGTATTCACCACCTCGTGTGATGACGTGCTGCCGTCATCTGGAGCAGGCAAGGGAGACCTGATTGGCTCAGACCTGAGCAGCAAGGACCAGGTGCTGAAAACCAATGCAGATGTGAAGGCCCTCACCTACTGTGACCTGCAGTGCATCCACCTGCGGGGCCTCTACGACGTCCTTGACCTCTACCCCGAGTACTCGCACCAGTTCCACGAGGACATCCAGGGCGAGCTCACCTACAACTTGCGTGAGGGCCGAGAGGTCAGTGCGACTGCCCTTTCAATACGGCCCGGAAACCCATTAGCATGGTTAGCTGCATACGGGGTGCGAAAGAAGTTCAGCATATACACATACGTGCAACCGTTCCCTCTGAGTTCCCTCCAAGTGACCTTTTCCCACACAGTAAAGGGTCGCACTTTGTCACCCATACTGCCGTATGAGAGCAATGCTCTTTGGCTGTCAGTGGGAGCCCTTCAGCCAACAATGGTGCGCGCAAGACATTTCATGGCTGCACATTTATCTCTTTAATGTAAACACAAATACAAAGAGCCCCCATATAGCCTTATCATACTGGTAGGGTAAGTGCTGTTATGAAGGTCGGCACGGCACACGAGGGGGTGGGTGGCCAGCACCACGCCCGACCACCTTAGTCTCCCTAGTGGCAATGTTTACACACCGCACCAGGTACTCATTTGAGGCTGAGTCGACCTAGGGGAGGCCCGGGACCGGTTCAGATAATCGTCACTGGTGTTGGCCGTGAGCTGGAATCGAACCCGGGTCGCCAGGTTCATAGCACAGCGCGCTAACCGCTACTACACTACCGCTCCCCACATACACACACGCACACACATTCCATGGTTATTATATTTTTCTGCCCCCACTTATAAACAAGGCAGAGTGAAGAGGGACAGACTTGTTGTTGTTGTTGTTTTAAAAGTAGATGTGTGTCTACAGGCACAGGCGGAGGTCCAGGGGGGCGTGTTCCAGAACCTTCCGTCAATTTTGGAGGACGAGGAAGATGCCGAAGGGGGCGACGAAGACGAGTTGACGCCGCTGACTGTGCGCCGCCTCACGTTAAGGCACAGATCGGCGAGTGCGAGTCACAAAGCTAATCCGTTGGCAGTAGGAACAAGACCCCAGGTTGCGGAAAATGGAGCCTTATCCGCCGCTACAGCAATTCCCGGAAGATTAGCGATGTTAGACGGAATCCGGAGTGGCCTGAAGCCAGATAATCTGAGGCTCCCTGGGACTGTGCCGTGCTGCGGTGTACCAGAGCTCAGCCCAAGGTAACGGGGGTTGCTACATCACACGCTAACTTACGGCCAGATGAACATTAACGTCGTACTCATAAGATATTTAGGAACTTGAAGCACCATTGCGAAGAGAGTGGGCTGCTTTTATACGATGGTTGTGCTGGTGGTATATTTCGTAATGTACATTTTTAAAGAAATTACATTTCACGTCGAATTATTTCCCGAGGGTCAGTTGGGAAAAAAACATGAAACTCAATCTTCCTTCACAGTGACAGTAAAGAGAAAACAACTGCCATTACTTTTAGTTAACCCTGCTTATATGTTTTTACATGTCTAGTTCATGCAAAAACTGCATAGGCAGCTGTCACTAAAACGATGGTGTAACTCTTCGCAAATACGATGTCTTGTTATTTTTATACACAATGTTTCTGAAAGAAAAGATGACCAAGATATTGTATTGTGATTTTTTTGAAAATTCCATAATTCTGCCATTAAAAGTCAAAATAGTGATACTGATTACAAATATTATTTTTTATAACATTCAGGTAATGGTTCACCCAAACTGCTTATCTCTAACGAGAGGATTTTGCTCTTAAATAAAAAAAAAGTGCATTTTACCACCTCTGTTATATATTGTATTAAATCGTCCAGTAATGGGCCAGTTATGCACAATTTTAATCTGGAGAGCTAAGATGAGCTGGATAATTTGTTGACATTGTATATTTGTAACCAGAATGTTCAGCATTCATGCCAGTACATCGAGTGCCTTGCATACACAGCATCATGCCGTTACGTGTTGATTGCAAAAAAAAAACTATTTGAGGATTTCACATAGCTTCATAAATTTAAATGGAATGGGATTTGCGTATTTAGATGAGGATTAAAACGCAAATGAGGGTATTTCAGATCATTTAATATAGCCGTGCCTTATTATCTGTGAATGTGTCCTCCTATATGTTCGACTTTAGTAATGCGCCGTTTATTGAGTTTCATGATTAGCAATTGTAAATTATTTTCACGCAACCTGTTGAGCCATTAAAGTTACAACAAGATGGGTTAATTACACGGCTAAGTGACATCTGAGAGGTACGGATCTGTGCACACCACTTGTCTTACCAGACTTTTGTTAAATATGCAAGCCTGCGTAAATGGGTATGAACTCTATTGGCAACGTTCGTTCTGCGCATTCGGTGCTCGAAGTAACTGAATTATTAGCTGCCTTAAAAACAATGTCTACTTGGCTGCTGCAGTGACATTTCATACGTCGGAACTGTGATGGTTGTGAACAACGTGACCACGCTGCCACCTAAAAGCTACCATACCCATCGCACGGACGGAGAGATAATGCTGAGGTCGTAACTCCGCATTGTGTGCTCACGGTAGGCATTACTGATTAATTTGCTAAGATGTGAACAGCTACAAAAGCAAACCGCATCCCTCGTGCATTCATGGCACAATCAACTTCCATTGGCCATTACGATATTAATTGCCGCGTTTTTATCTGCCGAAGGTCCTAAGTGTATGAAATTGCACTTGATGTGCTAATTTAGTGCCGCTGCTGCCTGAATATTAACTCTGTCAATTATGCCTTCAGGCAGAGGAATTAAATGCTGATTATATTCGTGCTTACTCTGAGCAGCGCCAGCGCTGACAAGATTTATTAAAGCAATACGCGTTCGCAGAAAATTGTAAACATCTCATTGAACCCGACTTAGCCGGGGAACGAGCGGGTTACATCGTAACGTAGGCAAACAAGGTGCTTTGTTTTCACTTGAAATGGGATACGTTTCACCTTACCATTTCCCACATGTTTCGGAGTACATGCTCAGCGCCAGCAGGTCTCACAGCCCTGCGCACAGCCCATCTGCTGTTGTTGCTTTTGTGCCAGTGACTAAACCAGGCCAAGTGAATTGACTTTGCATGCGCTGCTACCGTTACCCAGAATGGTAAAGCCCTCTCTTACCTCCTTCAGTGACATTTTTCACCGGCGAGCCTGAGTTGTCTTTTATTCCCGCTGTGAGAACAAAATGATGAAAGGTCCCAACATTAAATGTTCATCTTGTTGCTTAAATATCTACAGCCATTCCATTACTATATATATTATAATTGTTCAATAAATCATTTTATAGGTTTGATTATTCTGAGCATGACAAAGGTTCCATTTTCATTATTCAGCATCGTAATTAATCTTACAGACCATAAACATGACGCCAAAGCATGTACGTGGGTATATGAAATGTAGGTTATTTCTGAGAGAATTAAACATGAAAAGGAAAACATTCCGAGGAGCCTAATCATAGAGCGGAATATTGCACGTAGTATACCTGGATTATGATCACAATATCAAATGTACATATCGTAGCACAAATTGTCTGTTCAGAAAAAAAAAACTGCTTATAAAAATGAAATGACTCGTCCAATAATTCAACATATATTTTCTCAAGTTTATTTCACTGCATTGTAATTAAGTACAGCAGCATGCTTCGGACTTCGTGATGTGTTCCCAGATTTGTTGATGGGATTGAAGATAATGGCAACACACCAGTGAAGCAAAGATTTGAGTTCCTGTACAAGGACCAAAGGCAAGATGCTGGCAGTACCACCTCTACCATAGGTAACTGGAAATTGATATTTCCATATTTTACATATGAATAGCTTTTTTATTTCCAATGTAATTTTTTTAAACATAGCAAGCCACTTTCACATTTTCCTTAATGTGTGTCATTCGCAGTCCCCATTGCATCAAGGCACTCTACATCCCTAAACACGCACGCACATAAGTGACAATGAAAATGCTGCATTGCTGCATATCCGTTTAATATTCGCAAAGAGCAAAGCGATTACCTTCCAGTTCATATCGCCCTGTAATTATCATAATACATTTGCTGTAACGTCGATTTTGACAGCTGTCAAATTTAGAGTAGTTTAACTGTTGCTCATCTATGCGAGCTCCACTGTCGTACAACGTGTGCTCTTCACGTTGGCGAGTGTACTTGCTGATAATGCTGCCTGCCGCAGGAGCAGACACGACGCAGATGAGTCCTGGGGCGTTATCGCTGCCACCAGAAGAGCCCAACAAGAGCATAGTCCGGCTCAACCAGGAGGTAATAAACACTGCCCCTTCGACGCAACACAGCACAGCGCTCGTCATGTATAAATAAAATGACAATGATAATGATGGTGATCATCATCATCATCATCTTATTCTTCCCTTTGTCAACCCAATGCTGGATGAAGGTCTTTCCCACACTGTGTCTGTCATACTGCACCATGCTGGTCAGTGCAACTTGGTCACTGGGGGAGGGGAGGCCCAGGACCGGTTCACATATGATAGCTGACGTTCACGGTGACTGCCAATCAAACGCAGGTCACCAGCTTCATCGCGCAATCCGCTTTTGTGGAGAGATATTGCCCTTAAATAAATAACATTGTTTTTTACGTGCATTTGCACTCATGTCAGTTCCTCTGTAGATTGATCTCAATGTGAATATCAATGATGGTCACCAACTGAACTTATTTTGTTCACAATATATAATAAAGTATTCCCTTGCTCCAAAGCATGGCCCTTTCATACAGGAGTAACCAAAGTTACACATCAATAACCGTTCAATTGTCACTATCCATGTCTGCCATGGTGTCCAGATGTCAAGCTTGACCAAGGAGGTCACACAGCTAAGCAGAGACCTCAGGAACATCATGGAGCTCCTCAAGGGGCTGATGCAGGTCCACCACAACCCGGCCCAACAGTCGCAGCACACCTCCAGTGTCACGCCCTCCACGGACAGACCACCGTCCTGGCCCAACTCCACCCCGGCGGGCAGCAGCAGCTTTGACAGCGTGCTCGCTCACGGCTCCGTTAGCTCCCAGCCCATTCCGCAAACACCGCCATTCTCTGAGCAGCAGCAGCAGCAGCAACGGAAATCCCGCGAAACCTCACCGTTTGATCGCGACGCTCAGACCCCAACAAAGGAGCAGGAGCTGCTTCTCCATCAGCCGCAGGAGCGAAACTATTCCGTACCACTGAATAAGTCCGAGGTCGGTTGTGCGGTTGGACAGATGTTGAGTGACGAAAACGAGCTGAAACACAGTGCGCGTCAGGGAAACCTCTCGGTCTCTGTGCACTCTCTCACTTCCAATGCTTCTAAGGGACCCACACGTCGGCCTTCACTTAGCGAATCCATAACCGGTTTAACTTTTCAGGGAAGTGAACCTCAGGTTGTGAATGCCGGCAAGGAGTCATACGGTAGCAGTGGTGGCCTGGGAAACATGGCCATGATTCATAATCTTGAAGACGCCTCGGAGGAGCTTCTGGTATATTCTACAGAAATGGCAGCAATGGGCAACTCTAAGACTACGACTGTCGTGAACATGATCGATGCCATAGATTTCATTGACGACGAAGGGACAAGTGTGTGAACGGATTGTGAGCGGGTTTTTTTTAAAAAACTGTAGTGTTGGGAATTTATTTTGCTTGTTTTTAACGTGTTTTTTTTTTGTTGCAACTAAGACGTCACATTCTCACGACGATGTACATGGTACCTGTTTGGTCAGGTGTAAAGTGCATTTGAGGCAAATAAATGTACTTTAGAAACTACTGGAACTTACATGTATGTTACTGTTGGAGAATTTGATATGTAGATACTTTAAGAGCATTAAATAATTTAAACATATGTAAAAGTTTTTTTTTCCACAGATCATGCTTTTGTACTAAGCATTGATTTAAAGTGAATTGCATGTGTCCCGTAAAACTACCTTAATGTATCGATCAAAGACAACGATATTGATAGGAATTGTATAACTTCCAAAGGCTATTTTTATATCATTGTCATGATCCTTTACACTAAGATAAGAAGAATATCGTGTCTTGCCTTCAGAATGAACGATATTTCAAAGCAGACTGGTTTATATTAAAATGCAATGATTGAAAACTAAAAGTTTAATTTTTTCATACATACTCTTTGGTTCTTTTCATGCATATTTTGGGAAACTGCAAATGCCTGATTCGGGATAAAAAAAAAACAATTACTTTTTGCAATCCCTGCTGGAGTATGAGCTGAATGAATATTCTCTCAATGCCAAAACATATACATGTAAATACTCAGGTGAGGTATAAATATTCCACTGATTACAATATCATTGTCCCGGTAATGTGGGGTATTGTTTTTTATCCTAAATTATAAAGTCAGTAATGAAAGCTTTACATAAAACACCCATTAATGTTCGTCCTCTTTAAAATTATTTGGACGTTTCGCTGAGCGTACCTTCTTCAGGCACTGAACCGGGAACGTTCCCAGAACAGAGCAAAGCATTGGGTACCACGCCAAGTGATGCGGCAAGGCCGAGAAAAGCCTACCACGCAAGCAGTATTTTTTTGGCATGTGGTTCATTTTTTTTTTAATATTCCCAGTGTTCGTGCGTTCCAGCTCCCTGGCTTGAAGAGCAGTGAGGCACAGTGGTGCACAGCATGTACAGCTGTGCACCAGTGACATGCGAGGTGGGGAATCTCAGGAATACTGATCACTTCCCCACCAACTCGGCTGCTGAAATTCAAACGATCACGAGTTGAAGCGATCCCAAAATTGATGGATGAAAATGTGTGGGGCATTTTTTTGTGTGCAAAACAATTATTTTATATACAACTGCCCAGGTGTAGCATTCTGAATGGGCAAACTACTTAGAAGGCACATATTATTCCTCACTTGTTGAAATATACATGTACACATAGATACAGTATGCAAATACTGTATCAGTGTATGTATACATTTACATGCATATACTGTATATTTAAACTGCCACTTAAGTGCCTTCAATGTTAGGAATTTGTAAGTTAACTCACCATAGTCGTCCTACTTGTAGTTTAAAGTGGTATATTTTAATGTAATATGATTCTTATGTTCCTAAAATATGTTCTACACACTTTGTGGACAATTTTCTGTGGTGCCTGCAGTGTTTAAGCATGGCATGTATGTGGGTGTGTGTCATTTATTAGGTACGAGTGCATCAGTGATTTACCTGTCCTAGTTATCAATATATTGTTTTAATGTTGTTTATAATGTTGTTGACGTAGTCTTACTGTGTAGACAAAATCTAACAAATGGTAATTATTCAATCATTTCCAATGTTTGTAACATTTCTTTGACAGCAGCGTCAATGCATTGAGTACACTGCATGTAACGCGATAAATGTATTGTTTAGTGTCCGTTTTCTTTGCATGTACATCTGTGCCTTTAATATTACCTACCCATAAAGCTGAATATCTAAGAGCCCTCCTGTTCACCACAAGTATGAATTATGTGCTGATAGTTGCTAACTCTGCCTCATGTCCAACGAGTTAGACACGGAGAGGGCTTGTGTATGGCCTAAAGATGTTTCACTCTTCCTCATTCCATATTACAGTATAATGTAGGGTTGGAAAAAAACAGTAATATGAATTCTGCTGACAAAAATATTACAATGCGAAGAAACGATATATATTGTAAAGCTTAAGTCTAAATTAAAAAAAAATATCATTGCTGGTTTAAACACATACCAATCTCAGGCATATTGTCACAGGCAGATTTGAAAACCTTGCATTTAAAATACATTGCTCTCAAAATGCAGCTCTTTGGTTACCACAACTGTTCTCTGAAAGAGGAAACCTTTTTGCACATTACATTTATTTTACCAGTGTTAGACAAGAATATACCAAAGTATTTTAATATAGATATTAATGTTATAATTACACAATTTTACTGTGACTCCATATTTGGGTCAAATATTGATGTATGGGCATTTCAATATGTTTAACGTATCACGTAAAAAATGTTTACCTATGGATTTCACCAGAATTATAGTTAAGTTATTTAATTAGATGCCGCTTGACTGGAATAACGGTTAACTTGCATTCCTCGTGAACACAATCGGGAGTAACAACATACAGTTCGTAAAATCCTCTACAAATCTATAAATTCCTGAAGTCAGTTTTCCATAAAGTGAGATTGTTGATGGATCGGTTATATCTGAACCTATTTATGTTGTCATGGTCCACTCTCTACGTAGCTTTTCGGTGGCTGGACACCCTTGGCAGTGAGCATGCTCGCTACTGGGGAAGTTTGACAAGAATGGCTGCATGACACTGACACACTGCGATTTCCCGCTGACAATCACCAAAGCACACTGACGACTGTTAAGTGGAAATTTGTCACAAGGGTGGGACATTCAGTGTCAGTTTCACAGTCCAAAATGCCTTTAACAACAACAATGACACGTGATTTTTTTTCCACGTGTTTTTTGGTTTCTATGGTTGGTAAAAAGAAACGGAGATTCTTGGCTCTGGACTCATTGAAGGTAGAAACTTAGTGATGTGTTCATTTTGAATGTGTTTCCATAAATTTGGGGTGTGGGAAGGTGCATGATGAATAATTTATGCTGGTCAGATTTTCCCACATTCGCATGGATCAGAGGGACAAAAGATTCACCAAGAAGTGGATGCATTGCAAGTGTGGCATGATGTGCACCCATATCACTCTTAGGCGAAAGTGTGGGAGGTAATCTTACAGTTTTGCTGTTTTTATGATATAGCTGATATATACAACGTAATGTTATATCATGTTTAATAATGTAAGTTCCACATCTCTCTTGTACGTTTGAACATTGGGGTTATTGTACAGCATTTCAAGCCTTGGCAGACTCCATGAAACAATGTCCACAACAATGCGGAAACGTTAATTGCGTCTCTATAAAACGATAATGATGTCGTACAGCCTTGCGACGCCAGACGCATTCTCGCCATGATTTTCGTGACATTTTTCCATCGCAGAAGTGTCCATCGTCTCATCTCTCCCAGTGCCCTCACGCCACCCTTCCACGCGCCAAAGCCAGGTCTCTCCCTCCGCCCCCTACCTCAACACTCAAAGCATATCCTGTTTATTCATAAACATTCGTCACTCAACCCTCAGGTTGCATCCTTCATGTGCGTTGTCATTAATCATTCCATGCATTACCACCCCTCCTCCATGCCCTCCACTGCAATCTGAGCACAAAAGCTGCTCGCTATAGAACGTCCAACAGTTTGGCCATCTTTACAAAATCCACATGCCACACATTCCTCCTTGCATCCTTCATTCTTTAACATGTCATCTCACTGGCAGCTTTATTGTTCTCCTAGATACGGTAGATACCAATTATTTGCATTCCCCTAACCCGATATGTATGTACTGTATATTGAACTTCTTTCGCACCGTACGTAGCCAACCGTGCTTATCGGAGGTGTATAAATGTTGTCTTTTCGAATTAGCTCTCTACCCATTAAGTCTGTCCTATCCTCTGACCTATCTACTGTATACACACCGTTGTTCAATTCCTAAGGAGAAGCGCCCGTAATATCCCTGTAGTATATCGGCGTCAAATGTCTCATCTCGTCCACGGTTTGCGAACACTTATTTATCCGCAGTATAATTGACAATAACCTCGCCTCTTTCTTTATTTTCATCTTACAGATTACCTCCTTCAACCCATCGCTGATGCCGCACACACACACACACCACATCGCTCGCCGCCCCCTCTTCTGTTGTCCATCCCAGGTCCTCGCCGCTCCCCGTCAACAGCGATCATCACGCGTGACCAACGCAATCACGCGCGTCTCACCCTGTAAACACGCGGGTATTGTCCACGGAGATAATCGCATCCACCCCTCCCACCCACCCATTTCTTCTCACATAGCTGCTCAGCAGCAAGGGCTTAATGCAGTTACAGCCCCACAACGTAACGCCTCGTCCCTTATTTACCTTTTTTACCTTTTGTGACCCTGTAAACACGGGCAATTTCCTCCTGCGCAACCCCCCACGGCTCGTACAATTTCCGTTAACTACTGCACCCCACCAGATTACCAACGTCATCATCAGCCGTGATCAATCCAAAGCCATTGAGGGTCTAAACATCTCGCCTGGTGTACCGGAGGTTGTGGGTTCGATCCTGACGCCTCTATATTTGGAGTTTGTACGCTCTCCCTGTGGTCATGTGGATTTTTATCCGGGTCCTGCAGCGTTTCCCTCCGCATTTAGAAACGTGCGTTTAAAGTATTCGCCTGCTATAAACATTTCCACACGATACGCCACCTGGTTGAGCTGTCATTATGTGGCCAGGTCACTTCTGAAAAGGAGCTATATAGCTCAGCGGGCCTTACCTCGTAAAAAAAATAAAGTTTAGTTTCTAGTTCATTACCACATCTCACGATCCTGCAATGCAACGATCCATCTTAGCAGCTGGCACACGAGTTGAGTTCATCCATACGTCTCCTCAGTGGACGTGCGGTCACTCCATAATTTCTCTCGATGGTCACAGTCATCATCCCTTCCAGCATCATGCCCTCCCCAACTTTGCTTTCGAGTTAAAATGATGTCTGCCTTGCCATGAGGTCGTACTTGACCTCCCGTTTTCACCCTCGACGGTGAATCCGAGTCTGCCAGCCCATTCCTCTGCTGTCCACAGCTGTTCTCTGCACCACTTCTCACCGTACGCAATGCTGATTTGGGCCGGGGATCGCGCACACCACTGACTCGCGGTGTTTCGCACCTCTGATTAGCACGGTTGGCTACGTACGGTGCGAAAGAAGAAGTTCAACGTGCATACACACAGCGCGAAATATATCCCTTCATCATTACCGGAATTGTGCCCGCCCACATCCCAACACAACAATCTTGTTTATTTGGCTCACGTTTATGGAAGACTCGTTCCTTCCTGTTCCGCTCAAGACTCACAACCGCTGACTCACCGTCTGGCTCTCTATCATCCTCCTCCTCTGTCTCTCGCTCTCTCCATGGTTTATCCTCACCTGTTATTCATCAGGAAGGTCCTTCACCTCTAGTGCACTCGAAACAGCACGGAAAATTGCATCATCGACTCTTGCTTCCTGAAGCCCACCTGCCTCGCCTTTCACACATACTCCACGCCTCTCATTTCCCGAGGCCGCATTAACCCATGGCTTTGGATTCCGGAACAAAGTCACAGCTGAGACTCCCCCCCCTCTTGAGTGGTCATCACTGCCAGCTCTGTTTCCTGTTCCAGCAGCTCAACAATAACATCACCGTGCAGATGACTGACGCACGTCATGACGAACGTTCGTACACCTGCATGGTCCGGCAGAAATGCGCGGCGCACAATGTCCACCACGTGGGTTGCCGGCAGCATCATTGCCCACAGCCATCGGCAGCATTCTCAGAATTAAAAAAAAAGCTCGGAGATAATCTGACCATTTTTGCTGCTACCTTTTCGAGTACAACTGGATAAGCTGATTGTGTTTCGTCTTCTTATTTAACAGTGCATGTCCACTGCTGTCTCGTCTTTTGAACGTTATGTGATTGTGCAGTATTTCAAGCCTCAGCAAGTCCCCACAATGCAATGTCCACAGTATCGGGAGACAACTTCATCCATAGTTTATTAGCCATCACAAATGTTGTGCAACTTTGGAATGTTCCCAAACCCTTGCCACGACTCCCACCAGCCTCGAAGGATGTATCCAACCCCACTTTGTCAGTGTTCTGTATTATGTTGAACTTCTTTCGCACCATAACTAGCCACACGTGCTAACCGAAGGTGCAGGGGAAGGACAACAAACTAAACACGAAAAGAAGTTCTAAAGAAACGAGTTTTCAATCTAGATTTGAAAGTGCAAAGCTCCAGTGGATTCCTAATCGCTCCAGTGGTTCTCGCACCACCCGACCGCATGTCTTCACCACCCACGTCTCCACATGCTCACACTGAATCTCTGTCTCCCTCTCACCAAGCTCACCGACTCTTTTAGGTCTCTACGCCAAGCTGCATCAACACTCACTCTTATCCTTATTAAACACAATACAGAATAATGCATCGAATTGAGACCCATGTCTAATATAGGGGCTCACTACCTATAAATATCTGCCAGTTCACCAGAATTGGTTGAAGCGAGCCTGGCTGCTGACGAAACCACTAATAATCGAAATTGGTCCAATGCTGCTGAAAAAAAAAATCATTGCCAGAAGGTTTAGTGGCTGATGGGATGCGTATTTTATTTATGCACTGTGTGAAAGGACATACATGGGAAGGAGGCACGATGTCTGTTCATTTATTGCGTTATCTTTTATTCCATAACCGATTAAGTTCCCATTCTGCCCTCATTCACATTACCCACCAGATGCCACTTACATTTCGCGTGGTTAGAAATGATTTATCATGGTTCCATAACAGGTTTCATACCAAAAAATGCAAACTCCCGCGATGATCAAACTCTCTCCTTTCTCAGCCCGCTTGTCCAGGTGAGGGTTGCGGCGGTAACGTGTTGAGTAGTGGCGGTCCAGACCTCCCTTTCGCCTGGCGAAAGACTCCTAGCTCTTCCTGGGGAATTCCCAGGCGTTGTTCCCAGGCCGGCCGAGCGACACCGTCCCGCCAGCGTATCCTGGGCTGGCCCCGGGATCTTTGCCCAGTGGGACGTGCTGCCCGGTAGAGTTCCAGGGGGAGTCTGGGATCGTTTCAGCAAAACGTTCAACTGAAGCAGTAGCTACCGACTTATTGCAATTTCTCCCATGATTATCAAAATGACAATTTAAGAAAAAAAATATGCATCGTTTCGGCAAAGCACTCACCGGAAGCAGTAACTACTGACTTATTGATGGGAAAGTAAAATACATTAGACCAAACTTCACTCTGCTGTCACGAAAATGGTCATTATATGTAAATCTCTCAATGTTTGAATCAAAGGTCTCTTAAGTATTTACTCATGTATATGTGTATGTTATCTTTAATGCTGGATGATAACACATGGCTAACAACTGTATGTGTAAATACCAGTAATGCTATACGCTTCATTGGAAAACTTGTTTATTTGGATGGAATGAGTATTTCGGACGTTTCAAAAAAGTTAAATAAACTACAATATATACACATTAGTAAATGTGGCCTAAAATCATTAACATGGAACTATTTTCTCGGGTCACCGTTCTCAACGATAGGCAGCTGTCTGAAACGTCAAACCGTTCTTTGCATTTCTAAGAACAAAAAGTAATGTCTCGTTTCTCTCTTTTATTTAATCAACCCCATTGTGACGACACACCAAGAAGCATTTAACAACTGCTGCATCCTGACGTCTTCATGTGCTTTACAAGCATATTATTCTTAAACATTTTTGAAAATAAATTACACACAAAAATACACAGGTCTTTTGAAGAACGCTTTAATTTTGTGGGGAAGACCACAGTGTCAGAAAAAATATAGCCAATGAAAAACATGTTCACCCTTAACAATAACAGTAAACAGGTCAAAATGATTTAAATTATATCTCACGAACATTACAGAGGAAAGCGAACGGATATGACACGTGACAAACGAACACCATTGAAGAGAGAAATCACAAATGCTTAAAACATGAAGGGCCTTGAGTGATGCAGTCTTTTGCAGAAATCCACAAAATCAATTCCACCTAAGTTGCGCGCCAGTTTTGGTCCGATTCGCCAGAATGAATTAAATGGGTTGAACCCCGTGCCACATCAATTCCCGCGGCCAACCGGCGAACTGGAATCCAAGGAAAGTGTTTGATGACATCATCAAGCATAATAGAGGTTTTTCTGGGGGTTAGATCGCCTAAATATATAAATGTGTCGTTAACACCCGCCACCACCCGACACAGCCAAGTAGTAAGGGTTGTCACGTAAACAGAACGTGGCCAATTCGTCACTAGCACAGCACTCCGGTGTGTTGGAGAGCTATGCCACAACATTTACAATCTGAATACAGATTATGGATGGTATCTATGCCATAAAACCTCTATTATGGATGAAATTGGTCGCAAAAGCCTACGTGTTGAACTGACATCATCAAGCTCGACTACACTGATAGACCGAGCCGACCAATCGAGCCCTGCTCTCTCTCAAACACAGGGCACGCACATTTTGCTGCTCTTGACAACCGCTCTACCCTCTGCCAAAGTGCGATAATGTCACGGCGAAGCCAAAGGCGGCTTAGCGATACCTAAAAACAATACCGTAATGCTGACTGACGATGGTGATGATGAAGACCATGTTGGCGATGACTAAGAATATTATGAGAGCGATGATGGTGATTATTGTGATAAATGAAGAGCATGATGATGACGACAGATGAATACTGTTTGATGATTGTAATGATAAGTGAAAATGGTGATGACCGATGTGATGACGCTGCCGCTGTAATTACTGTTGAATAACAAACGCACAACTGCCTCTCATCCCGTGGTGATGCCCCAATGCTTACCTGTAAAGGGCACATCCACAACAGGCCCCCACTTAAGACTGTGTCATCCTAGGGGAAGATGAGAACAGGCAATACCGATGGCCCAGTTTCAAATGTTAGTTGCTGGGTTCGTAGCGTAATGCACGAACCCCCATATTCACTCGCAGGTCGGAGGCAGTGGATAGGGACAAAATACTGTCAATTCGATGTTTATTGGAAGGAAAAAGACAAAACAGGAATGACAGTGATAATATAGCTGCTAAGACAGCGTGCCTGGATAATAGCAGTAGTGCCTATATTGTCAGAGCGCAGACACAAAGAATGCTGCATGTTTGTCATTTTGGTAACAATATAATGTACATAATTTACAGCTATTTGTCAATGACCTGTTGGATGAAGGCATCGTCAGACCTTCTCAGACAGGATTCCCAGTGCCGTGTCAGTTGTACGATTCGTTTGGCCATACTTCGCCAAGCTGGTCAGTGTGAGTTGATGAAGATGTGATCAGGACCGCTTGAGAATGGAGCTCAGGTCATCGGGTTTGTAGTAGCACATTGCGCGAGCCCTGTCCCTATCATGTGACTGACGTCAACAGCCTATGTAGGCTACATAGGGGATCTTTGTATGTCATTGTGTCTATATATGTGTTCTATGTGTACACGCGTGCATGTCAATTCGTATATGTAAATATGCATGCGTCAATATGTGTTTGTGCTTGGGGAGCGGTAGTGTAACGGTTAGCCCGCTGCGTCACGAACCCGGCGACCCGAGTTCGATTCCCGTTCACGGCCAACACCGGTGAACGCGATTATCTGAACCGGTCCTGGGCCTCCCCGAGGTCGACTCAGCCTAAAATGAGTACCTGGTGCGATGTTTAAACATCGCCACTAGGGAGACGAAGGCGGCCGGGCGTGGTGCTGGCCACCCACCCCCTCGTGTGCTGTGCTGGCCTTCATAGGTGCTCGCTAACAGGACTTTCCCCAATAGTCTGTTACAGGCTATACGGGGGATCTTTGTCTTTGTTGGCACAGTGGTGCATTTGCCAGTCATCTCATTTGGTCTGTGTCTGTGAAGCCTTTCACACGTCACCTAGCCTGACACGAGCGTCATGGTGATGTCACCGCAACTTAATGGTGAATGGCGGCTGTTGTTGATTTGCACGATTGGCTACGTATGGTGTGAAAGAAGTTCAACATACACACATGCATAATTTGGGGAAGTGACTTGTTTTAAACTAAAATACAAATGTCTTAAATGGAATGTACTTCGGTTTACCATGAATATCCAGAGAGTTTCCATTGGCATGTTTCACACTTGCTTAAACTTTCAGCAATATAAAAAAATACAAAATTTGCACTCCAATCATATTTTTATATTGTTTGTTGTTACTTTCTACTGAAAAACAGTTTCATAGCTCAACGGATTTCTCCAGGATAAATAATTAAATAAGAATGATTCTGAAAACAGCAACTGATAATATACTTGAGTTTAAAACTTTTGTATGTGCAATTAAAATCTATTCAGTTGAGCCTTTAAAAAACAGGTTATTTTAATGTTATTTGTCGCAAGGGGCAGAGCATGAAATGATGATGTCAGCATATCACCATTTTACATTATTCATTGATAGTATCAAAAAAACATGCTGACATAAAAATTAGATGTTCATTGGAAGTAAAAAGACAAAACAGGAAAGAGTGATAATATAGCTGCTAAGACAGCGTGAAAAAAATGCTGACATGTTTTTTTTTACTAGAATTATGTTTCAAATTAAATTATAGTAGTCAATAATACGAGCAACTGATAGTAACATATTTACATTTTGGTGATTTTTATGCATTTTATTGATATATCTAAAAAGGTTAAGCCTTCAACGAGCATTAGTGAATTAATTAGACAAACTGTCATATAATTGGTTTATGTATTATTAAACAAAACAATGCATTACTGTTTACTTTCGCCATATCACACTTTTATTTAGTCATTTCGTTTTTACTCGAGGCAATTAGCTGACACATTTTCGTCATTACACATTCATCAAAAGACATATGCAGTTTTGGAAAAATAACCTTTATATTGCACTACAACATTATATTAATAAGTGGTGCACCTTTACTGTAATACTACTCCCTTTATGTTAAATTAAAGTTAGAACAATGGGACATTACCAGAAAATTTAGTTTTGAAGTTTTCGTGACTGCAGGGATCCATACTCTTTGTTTTTTTCGGTAAAGTCACGTCGGTATAAAATAAAATAAATTAAATCACGACGTTTCGAATGCAACTCAAGCAATCATCATCAGGTGACTTTACCGAAATAACCAGAGTAATGAAAATATAGTGTGTAGAATTACAGTATCGTGGGAAAAGGTGCCTTTAACCAGCAGTGGATTGCCCATAGCTGATGATAAACATGATACTATATTCTTGGTCACGTAGAAGGGAAACAATAAAATAATACAAATTTAAAACAATAAAATTCTCACGACGTTTTATTATTTTATTGTTTCCCGTCTTCGTGACTTTACCGAAAGAACCAAGAATATGAGTCCCTGGAGTCACGAAAGCTTTAAATCAAAACATGATACTGTTTAGAGTGCATCATTTAGAATAAATACAACAACAAAAACATAGATTTCAAAACCGACCATCAAATAATAATTCACGGTGAAGGATGCTCTTCCCTTTACCGTAATGGGCAATAAAAAAAAACCTTGTTCTCCTACACCCACCTTACCCAGGATTTTCATTTACACAATGACCTGCCACGCTCATTTTCCCCTTCGGTTTATGAACTAATGTGACCATGGGGATCCCATCTCTTGGCAACCAGGAGGCATAATCTAAACAATAAGCCATTATTTCTGAAGTACTACACTAAGTGAGGCTTGTGCAGACCTAAATATAGCTCTCCTCGAGCTGGTCTTTGCTATTTAATTTTGAGAACAGAATAAGCCCACATAATTGTAAGTGAACGATGCAAATCCGGCAAGTATTTGATGACGTGACGGTGGGGAGGGTGAAGGGTGGGAAAGTTGACATCACAGATTTGCCCAGAATTCCCAATCACAGTTCGTCAGTGATTTTTATAACCAACGCATTTGCAAAACTTAAAAACAAATTAAAGAGCTCACGTACTTATGGAGCAAAAAGAAACATCACGATTGTGAAAACACACCACGTTGTGATAATGATGTGGTCAAATAGAAATTGTTTGAATGCAACAAACTGTTCCCTCCTGGTTACTTGTGTTGGGAAACGATCAACTGGTTAAGCATTTGTTAAACTGCTAATTACCTTTACACAGGCAGCGAAGGGACATTGAAATATGACACCTATGTTATTTACATCTAATCACGAAGCATGCAGCGATTGTAAAGCAAGGTCAAATGTAATCACGACCTTCGTAAATGAGGACGTGTAAAACATGTGTGTACAAGAACACCATAGCCCTCTTTGACTGGTGCTGGCAAAAGCTCACAGATTAAAAAAAAAAACTGCTGTCAATTTTACAACTTCCAATGTAGTGACGAATACAATCCTTCCTATGCCATTGAAGCTTCGCACGCACGAAACCATGCGTGTATTTTTTCTGTGATAATTTGTGTTAATTAATGATTTTAGTTTTGTTCTTGTTGTGTGTATTTATATCATTTATTTTTGGGATAAAAACTAATCTGAGTACGTTTCCCCCCCCCCCCATCCGTTTTACGAATGCGAGAGCTTCTGTAGGGGAGACGCACAAACAGGATTTTCATCGACCTTGTCTCCTCCACTTAGATTTCTCATAAAGAAGCCCCTTAAGGTCTGAACACGAGACACCGGTTGGCCTCGTTTTCGGCGCGGCTCGCTTTGTTTTGCCATGTTCTCACATGCCACGCCGCGCCTCGCCACGTGTTAAAGACAAATTGGTACGACGAGCTCGAAACGTGGACTGGGCCCGATTA